ATTATTTCTTGAAAGGAATTCAGCAACAGACTGGAGAATTGAATCAACGGACCGGTCGCTCGACGCGACAGGGATGCTGACTTCATTTTCCAGCAGGACTCGGCACCTGCCCACACTGCCAAAAGCACCCAAACCTGGTTCAATGACCATGGGATTACTGTGCTTGATTGGCCAGCAAACTTGCCTGACCTGAACCCCATAGAGAATCTATGGGGCATTGCCAAGAGAAAGATGAGAGACATGAGACCGAACAATGCAGAAGAGCTGAAGGCCGCTATTGAAGCATCCTGGTCTTCCATAACACCTCAGCAGTGCCACAGGCTTCCACGCCGCATTGAGGCAGTAATTGCTGCAAAAGGGGCCCAAACCAAGTACTGAGTACATATGCATGCTTATACTTTTCAGAGGTCCGATATTGTTCTATGTACAATCCTTGTTTTATTGATTGCATGTGATATTCTAATTTTCTGAGATTGTGGATTTGGGTTTTCATGAGCTATAAGCCATAATCATCGCAATTATGACAAATCACGGCTCGAACTATCTTGCTTTGCATGTAATGAGTCTATCTCATATGTGAACTTTTGCACGATATTCTAATTTTTTGAGTTTCACCTGTATTCTTCCACTGGAGATTAGATAGGCCCCCACTCTTCTGGTCATTTAAAACATGGTTCTGTGCCCTTGTGTAGAGAGCTCTAAGGAGGAACAGTCATGGGGTTGGTTTAATGCCATGAGAGCCGTCCCTTTGTCTTTGTCAACCAATTTTTAACAGGGTGAATTATAATGTTTTGAAAATTTTTAACTCAAATTTAATACTTTAACATTTTAAGTTTTTATATATTGTTTTATATTTCGATGTTTTATTGTACACTATCCAGAGTCCCTCTTTGAGGGAGATAGACAGTTTAGAAATGTGAAGTATAAATAAATAAAATTGTGTGTGTGTGTGTGTATTTCAACAGAGGGGGAAAATCAATCTAGTTTACAAATGGGATACCTTTTTGAGGGAATTAATTTTAATACATTCAATTAAAATTAAATTTTAATGCTCTTTTTTCCATGTGGCCTCTGGCCAGTGCATATATAATTTAATCAAACGCATACATACCTTTGGAGGAAAATTAGGCAGGATTAGTTTCAGTGAGAAGCAGGGAATAATTCAGAAAGTCGAGAAGCTGAGAGCATAAGCTCACAAAGCAGGGAAGGTAAGTAGCATACAGAATTTTTGTGCCCAATTGAATCCTCTGAAAATGGCGTGCTGAGTGGCCAGGTGGTTTTTTTCCTCCTGACAAACAGCTGATTTTTCCACTAAAGCTGGTTCTTTGGCAGCATGCTCCCCAGATTCAAATGGTAACAACTAGGAATGATCCAGAATGACCCTTAAATGACCATCTCCTTTTACCTGGGAAGAGGAATCTCAATAGTTGCAACTCTTGGTAGGAGCAGCCAGAGGATTGGGTCTCCATCTTTTCCCTTTTGGCTGTTTTTTTTTTTTTTTAAGTGCGCTTCTATTTTGGCTCCATGCTTTAAAAGTTTTCTTTTTCTTTTTGACTTTTATCTTTAATTGTTAATTGACTGGCTAAATGTTGATTAATTCTAACCCTTAGCTGGATTTTAATATGAATTTTTACTGCTTTATTTTGGAGTTGTGAATCACTTTCACTATATGAAAGTCGATGGTGAACAGATTCTTCCCTGGATAGTGAAAGTGGTCTGATTTGATTTGCATTTACACTGCATTTTTATTAGAAGGGTTTTGTATTCTATTAATGTTTAAAAACTCTCTTATTTCTTTTAACCTCTGATGGGAACTTTCCTTTTTTTTCTATTCACTTGTTATTGTCTCAATTATTTTTGCAGTCATTCTGTTATGGTACATCTACTTCTCCAGTCTATGAGAGGAACTGTTTATGTTTTGTTTTGAAAGCTCAGCTACAAGAGAATTTTGGGCTATATTTGAAATGTAAACAATAATAAATTAAGGGTTTTGAATATTATAGGGCAGTGTGGTGGCTCAACGATTAAGATGCTGGACTTGTTGGGCTGAAAAGCCAGTTTACAAATATGCATGCATGGTTTTTCCTGCATTTTTCCTGCCTGTTTTATAAGCTTCTCACTGATCTTACATTTTTTAAATATGTCCTCAATATGTCAAAGAAATTATGTCAAATTATATTTTTGTATAATCTGCACTTTTTTAAAAAAACAAAAATACATTGTCCTTTAGGAAACAGAAAGCCTCCTTATGGAAATGAAGAGGATCCGGTTGTTTAAAGCAGGGGTTGCCAACCTTTTGGACCTCAGGGACCACCAAATTCATAATTTTAAATCCCGTGGACCAGAGACTCCAAAAAAAATCTGCAGGAAAATTCCCCACCCTGTTTTCCTACCGATCGATCATTCTTTATTTGGGAGCGCAGGATACTGTCTCCAGCACCATTTTTTTTGGGGGGGGGGGGGGGGGGGTGGGAGGGAGAGAGGGTGGGAGGGAGGGAGGGAGAGAGAGAGAGAGACAGACAGACAGATAGACAGACAGACACTATTGGCTTCATACAAGAAAAGCAGCAGAAGCAGCGGAAGTCTTTCTTCCTCTGCCCCAAACTCTGCCAGAAATGAGTCTTTATGAAACAGGATGCCTTGCAGGGTACCAAAGTCTCATTTCTGGTAGAGTTTGGCGGAGAGAAAGACTTTTGCTGCTTTTCTTGCATGCAGCCAAAAGCAGAAAAAAGAAAGAAGTGGAAAGAAGCAGCCCAGTGACCAGGCCAGGCGTGTGGGGTGAGTGGGACAAGTTCCCTCCCTCCGCCCTTTCCCCCCTCCCTCACTACCTCATGTTCTTCACAATGCAAGCGATGCAAGCCTTGTGTTCCCGTGGGCCATGTGGGTGGCACAGCCTTGTGTTCCCGCGCAGCCTGGATTAATCGTTTTGGGGGTTGCTCTGGGGGTGACATTTCTCTGCGGACCACCAAAATTTTCTGGTGGACCACCAGTGGTCCATGGACCACCAGTTGGCGACCACTGGTTTAAAGGATCCAATGCTTCTTAGGCTATCAAAAGTCATAAGAAAAACATGACTGCACCCCCCTGCCCCAAGGGAAAACTGTCATAAATAGAGAAAGGTCAAGTGTGGACTGTCTACTGATTTCAAAAGCAATTGTATTTTTCAACTGGTGCTGAAATATTCTTTAATTTTATTCAGACTGCAATGGGTGACAGCTTTACTGGCCTCCTAGCACAAATCACTTCTATCCTGTTGCCTTAATTAGGTCTTCCCATTAGTCCCATAGTTACCATGTCACATGCTCAAACTATAACAGATCAACCAAATTACACAGAAGTAAATACATAAAGTAGTCTTTGACTAGCTTTTCTTTTAATGAGACCCCTCATAAATCCTGAGGTGGTATATCAATGGGTTTTTAAATTGTACATATGTTATTACAAGTGCAGAAAAAAATAAATCATTGAGCATATTACTCTGTTCATTTTCCTTCATTACACTTTCCTGCATGCGTGATACAGAATAGTTTCAAAAAACACTATGAAACTTAATACTCAAATCTGAGCAGATGATAAGCATTAATTGTTCATATATTGGACATTTACAGAGAATTATCTGAGTGAAACTCAAATAACTGAATAGGAGAATGACCAGAAGTCTATGGAGAAACATAACTGATACTGCGTGTCACATATTTCCACTTCTGTAAAGTGCAGGTAGCCCTTGCCTTATGCCGATTCACTTAATGGCGGTTTAACATTGTAACAGACTCAGAAAATTGTCTTAACAACTACAGTCATGTGATCCCAATTTGGGTTGGTTGGCATCCTGCTCACGTTTATGATAACTGCAACATTTTGCGGTAACATTATTGTGACTTGTGACTTTCCAGCAGGTTTTCAACAAGCGAAGTCAGGATTCCCTTAACGGCTATGTAATTCACTTAATCTCTCTGGTAAAAATGGTTGTAAAATCAGCACATGATGACTCGCTTTATGGCTGCACTGAGTTAAAGCACAATTGGGACTGGAATTTCCATAAGTCAAGAACTCCCTGTACATTAATACTGCAATTTTTCCACAACTTTATTCAAAAGACCTATTATGTTCAAACAGGCTTCTCACGGATACTGCACTAGAAATGCAAATTTACTTGTGGCATTTCTTTTGCAATGCTCTAGCTTGTATAAATCTCCTTCCTGTGCACCTGGAAGGGACTTCTGTATCCAATCCATGCAGAGACATCTAAATACTTTTGATTTACATAATCTATTTTGAAATATAGGTTCATGTGTGAAGCAATAACAGGTTTTCAAACTTGAAGTTATTCTCTGAAACCCTAGAAAGCTGCTATCGATTAGTTTGCAAGACCAAACAATAATCTGACTGTAATGAGCAGCTTCATATAGATATTGCTACATAAAGTAACCACTCCTAATACAGTTATCTTCTACTTGGTTGAAGAGATCAATCAAGTTAGGAGCCAGTTCTTTGTAAAATAGTACATCACTGATAATGTCAATCATAACTTACAAAAGGAGGAATATCTCTAACATGGTGACTAGTGTTATCACACATGCATCAAAAACAAGTTTTTTTCCTGAAATAATTCATAGCCATCTGCAACTTAAAAGATACACAAACACACAAATGTGCGCGCGCGAGCGCACACACACACACAGAAAACACAGAATTAAACCTCATTAAATATAGCTCTGTTCAGTAATTTATTCTGAAAAACATATAGTTAATTGACTAAAATTACATGAAGCTAATAATAATTCCAAAGCAAGATAATTTTAGAAACCTTGCTTGGAAAAGAAGGGCAGGAATGATCAAGGAATATATTTTTCAAGAATTTTTTTAAAAAAATCCATCCAGATTTAAACATTACGGCGTGCTTTTAAAGGAATAAAATAATTATTTACCTTGTGCAAGCATACTGAACTCCAGGAAAAGTGCTATGTGGTACAGTTCCATAGCTTCTTCAGCCTTTGTCATGCTTGTTTTTCCTGCTACAAGAGCCTGGACTTCACTTAGACTCCCTACTGATGGACTGCTGTGCAAAATAGAGAGGTCTACCAAATCTGTATACATACAGTTTAAAATTACCCTCACATATTTTTTTGGTATGATAGATTCATCTAGTATAATCCTTGTTGGAGTCCTTAGAGTTCGATCTGTAATTTCTTCTCCGGTTCGTATCCTCCTCTGTAGCAGATGCCGGAAGAAAGGTGAGCGCGATGAAATAATAGCTTTGTGCGCTCTGAGCTCCTCATCTAAGCAGCTCTGACTTCCGCCATAAGCTTCAACAAGTTCAGAGTCGGATGAAAAACCGAGAACCACGTCATAATAGCACATGTAATCCAACAGCCCTCGCATGTCAACATCTAGAGAATTTGGTGTTCCAAATTCCTCACTAAGCTGCATGAGAATGTCAACGTTCTGAAACCTCGAATCTTCCATCCCCAATTCACCTGTGTATAGATAGTGCAGCAAAGCAGAAAACATGGGCAGGTCGATGCCAGCTGTGTTGATATCCATTATAATCTCTGCACCATATTCTGGTGAGGAAGAAAGGAGGGTCTTAAAAAAGGGGCACCTTGCAGCCAAAATTGCACGATGCACAGGGAAGCAAGTCTCTTGGAAGATTAGATCGACATCTGTGCAGTATTTAAACTCGTACAGTTCAGCCATGTCTTTCTGCAGCGTCTTGGCTTCTGGCCTTGCAAGACTAGCTTGCAGAGAAAGCTCTTTTAAGGCTGATGTTCCTTCATACTCTTCCACTAAAGCATTGACATCCCGGACATCCCAGCCGGAGAGGAGCTCGCGCATCTGCTTGGCGTGGTCAGCAGACCGGTGAGACTTTCGGCGCTTAATAAACTTCTTTTTGAGGGTAGCAAGGCCAGAACTTTTCTTTTTCTTATCTTGAGGTTTCTCGTGGCCATGCTCAAGGCTATAAAGTTTAGATTCACAGCCATAACCTTGATGGGAATAGGACGATGTTCCTGAAAGAAGAAGAAGAAAAAAAGCTGCCTAAAGCCCAGAATTAGGGTGTAAAAAGTGAAATGCATTGATAGGAGTTTTAAACTATTATAAAAAAAAATCTGAAAATGTTCAGAATAGTTTACAATAAACTAGCAAAATGTAGTTATAAAAAAAATTAGTGGAAAAACTATCATTTGACTACCCAGTTCTATCCAAACCAACAAACACATAAGAATCAATATTGGCAGTTTTCAACTGTCAAGACCCCAAACTTTTATTTAGCTTTAATTTGCAATGCATGGAGATTTTGAGAAATATTTATTTACCCTACTTCTTTTTCTTTCCACCTCTCTTAAACAAAATAGTGATGGCAGTATTCTAAGAGCTGATTTTAAGTCAAAATGGTTATGTGAAAAGAAAAAAAATATTTTTTTTCCAAAAAAATAAACAATGTTTCTCTTTTTACAGATATAAAAAAATGGCCTGGATCATTTATCTTTCATCTGGAATATGTAACTGACTGGAAAAATCTCAGTTGCATTCCTGTGGTTTTACTATTTTTGTCTATCCCATGTCTTTCATTCTTCCATTTTTGTGGATTAATCTTGTTTGCTAGTTGGGGGAAGCTAATACACTGACACATCTTGTAAGATTTGCAAGGGAAAACATATTAAAGGACATCTTACACCATTACTAAATTCTGCCCACGTCTGTCATTCTTTTCCAAATCTCGATTATTCTTTCTTTTTATTTGATCTTCTTGAAAGTTTGATATATAATATCTATGGCTGTGCATCTAACATCTTGAAATATTTCTAGCCCTGTGGCAAAACTAAATATTGTTAGTCTTATTTTTATCTAGTCTGATGCATATTTAATTGTATTTATTCTAACTACAGCAATGTCTGATGTAAATTAACACCATACAGTTTGAAGATTTTCCCTCGACTTTTCCTTGTTGACTCCTTTGTAATTTGGCAAATGCATTACAGACCTGGCCAAACATGCACAGAATTTTAATATACTAGCAAAGGCTATAAGCTCTTTTAAAGATTTCTTGCACACTTCCCCTCTCCTAAACCTATAAACTTAACCCATAGAGATTAAGTGTTATACGAGTTTGGGAACACTTTCTCAACATAAATGTTGAATCTTTTTGCTAATCTTGTCATGGAGTTGAGTTAGCTTATACAATTCAAGAGAAAAATGTAAATGAAATTCAACAGCTGGATAGAAAAAATAATAATTAATATATTAAAATAAGGTTTTACTATAAATAAGTACCATATGTTTCGGAGTATAAGATGCTACAAAGTATAAACAACTTTTGGGGAGGAAAACAAGAAAAAAAGTCTGCCTCCCAGCAATTTGCCTCCTTGTAAGCAAACAGCAAACAACCTATTTCAGTTTCAGCACAGCCTAATTAGCACAAGCAGCTAATTGTTGATTGGATCGGCCTCCCAACGATCAGCTGTTTCAGGCTGCAGAGATTGCCATCGCCTATTGCTGCCTCCGCACGCTCCGTTTTCAGCCAGCACATCCCGTTTTCAGCTTCTGCACATCCCATTTTCGGCTCGTTCCGGGCAGCAGGGATCAAAATGGGTGGAAAATGGGGTGCGGAGGCCAAAAACGGGGTGTGCGGAGGCCAAAAATAGGATGTAGAGGCCAAAAGTGGTGTGCGCAGAGGCGGCAATGGCAATCCTACAGCCTGAAACCGCTGATCAGCCAGAGGCCGATCCAACTGCCAATCAGCTGCTTGTTCTAATCAGGCTGTGCTGAAACTGAAACTAAAACAGGCTGTTTGCTGCAAGGAGGCAAATTGCTGGGAGGCAGAGGCCGAAGGGTGGGAGCAGGCGGGTGGGCGGGGCTTCAGCAACATTCACTGTATAAGACGCACAGACATTTCCACCCACTTTTGGGGGTGGAAAAAGTGTGCCTTATACTCAGAAAAATATGGTATATAAATACACCGCATAAAAACAAATATATTTTACTTTGTAAAATCCTTTTTGGTGTTTAGCTTAGCAAGGCCCGTAAGCCTATATATTCCAAACTATCCATTTTGTTAAACGTTTTAAACCCTGATCACAAGTGGTCAGTCTTTAACATGATTAAGACAGATGGTTTTAAAATATTCCAAAGAAAGTGAACAAAGGGATCATAGAACATAACTTATTGCAAGATGCAAGTATTAAAATAATTGAGGTTTCAATGGAATCCGTTAGGGCTTAGAATTAACAAATGCTTAAGATTATTTCCAGCAATCTTGCCATTAGATCTGTTAACTTCACAATGTTACATTATGTTAAAATGTACTTATATCAAGCTTTTTCTGCTAACATAGCCTGAGGAAATAGAATTCTATCTCATTTGGTAAACGTGAAGGTACCCAAATGCATGCTGGGAAAACCTTAGTATTTTTCTATATCAAGAAGCAATGGGGGAAGGATGCATAAGTTAGAAATAGCTAAATCTTGAACTTATCTAATGGGCAGCTTTTAAAATATTGTTGGCTCAGAAAAACGTAACATTAAAAGTATTCAGAATTTCAGAGTTAATTTTCGCAAGGCTTTTTAAAATTTCTGTTTGTTGCCACAAAAAGACAAACTGGAGCAGACAGGGTAATATTTAACCATTGGAATTTGTTCATAAGTATCCTTTGCAAGGGATCAGAACTTGCAATACTATGATAGATTTATCACATGAACCGCCTTTGAGTTAGACATAGTACCCAATGATGGCAGACAACATATGGCCTGGATATGCAATGTAAAAATCTTAAATGGAGAAACAGAAACACCTACCTATGAATGTCTGTTGTGCCTGAGAATTTCCCCCTACCCTTGGGGAACACGAATGAGGATAGTTTGAAGCATTAGCACCCATCTTCTTTAGTCACTTGAGCACTCCACTTTCTGGCTCATCAGCGCACAATTCCATAACCCATGATAGAACTTAAGACATAGTTCAAGTAGTAGCTTGTTCCCCATTTCTGAAAAATTGTAAACATAATATTACTATCTTTCCAACTGGTTACATGAATACTGTAAAGATTTAGGTAATCAGATACCATTTGTAATGAGTTTTCTTATTGATACAGCTATAAGTGAACACATTTTATCCTAACAATGAAGTTAATGCATAATCTAATCATTTCTGAAAACTAATTTTGCATCAAGACCTATTTGGTCAAATAAAGTACAAGTTTACCTATAAAAAAGTTCATGAGATAGGAAATCCTTATATCTAGAATTTATGAATACATAAAAGATGTTGGTTTAAACGTGCATACTCTACAAACAGTTTAGACAGAAGCCACTGACAGCAATGTAACATACAATAGCTACAGTATGTGACCTTCAAAATGTATGAGCACATTAATAAAGGCAAGCAGAAACAAAACACAAAAAATTAAGAGACAAAACAAAAAGCTTTCAGCAAAGACTGAATGGGTAATACAGCTAAAAGATCATTATATAATGTGCAAATTTGAGTATGGGGCACTTAAATATAATTTACATATATATGGGCAAGCTAACATTCTCTTGCCAGCAATAAAACATCAATTTGTGCGGGGTGCCAAATGTTTCCTGACTATAGAAAAACTTAATTTAAACTCATTAAATTGGACAGATTCTATTAAAACAATTTTTTTAGCACTGATGCTGTTACACGTCATAGTTAATTGGCTATTATTATAAAGAAATTCTAATTAAAGTTTGTGTTAAGCTCCTTTTTGAACCGAAGAAGATATATGTGTATATGTATGTGTATATGTGTGTATATGGATAGATAGCTAGATAGCTAGCGATAGAATATTTAGCTATAGGTTCCCAACCATAGACTGACAATATGCTATGTTTTTTTTTTTAAATCTAAAAGTCCTCAAATCAAGGAAGATACCATGCATTTGTGTAGTTAAGTCACAATGAGGACTACAATATTCCCTACAATATGGGGAAATTCCACTGCAAGACGTTCAGCCCTCTCCATTGTTTCTGAAGATTGTGGTTTTGCTTTCATCATTATATAGTATTGTTCGGGAATTGAAAAATGAAATAAACGCTATCTTTAGGATAAATGCACATAATTGCACTATACAATGCATGATTGGATATTCCCAAAATAAAATCAAAATTGAAACATGATTTTTCTTAAAAGAAGATAAGGTCAGTTCCTCAAGTATCTCAATTTGAAAGAGTTCCTACCACTTCTAACTTTCAATTTTAGGAAGTTCCAAAAAACTGACAATAATGTGATGCATTTGGGCTTACATTCAACAAAAGCTACCTGTGCAAACAGTCACTTTTGAAAATAAAAGTTTCCTCTCAACACCAAAATTTTCATATAATTTTCCACTGCCATTTCAAAAAGATTAAACAATAAGGTACACTGCAAAAATGCTTACTATATAGCCAAGTATTTTATACTTTCTTTTTTCAACCATAGGCATTCTCTCAAAGTACTAAACTACAGAGGAATTTTTAATATGTGCTATAGTAATATGAGTCAAAAGGGGGAAAAAATTCTACTCCCTAAATTAAGAGCACAGCAGAGAAGCTTCCAGTGATATTAAACTGATATCCCGATTAATAGGAGAGATTACAGCCCAAAAGGCAGCTGGATGCTGGATGTGGACCACCAAAAATCTCTCTGGAGAATGGGCGTTGGTATATTTACCTGAGAATGCCCTTTCTATACATGCTGCGAGAAAGTTCAGTAATGGGTAAGACTCCTCCCTCTGACATCATCAAGCTGAGTCTGCCAAAGTATAAAAAGCCAGCCCCTGCTGCTGGCCCCATCTTTTTCGGCGAAGAAACTTGACAGATGTAGCGTGTTTCTGGAAAATAAAACAGTGAGAACCCTCCCCAATCAAGACCAGTCGAATACAAAGGTGGGGCTGGACTCTCTCGCAGCATGTTTAGAAAGTGCGTTCTAGGGTAAATATACCAATGCCCATTCTCCTCCATACTGCTACAAGAGTCCAGGAATGAGACATATCAAAGCCTGCATGTCCAAGGGAGGGTCATCATCTGGTCCGCTCAGTACAACACTGGAAGAACCTTCTGAAGCACCCTTCTGCCAAATGCCGCTTCTGCAGAGGCAAAGGAGTCCAGTAGATAGTGCCAGATAAATGGAGAAGGTGATGCCCAGGTAGCTGCCCTGCAGATTTCCTCAATGGATGCCTGGGTAGCCCAGGCTGCCGAGGTTGCTACACTCCTAGTAGAGTGGGCTGTGAGCTTCTTGGGAACTGGGAGAGACAAAGTCTCGTATGCAGTGGAAATACAAACCCTGATCCATCTGCCCATCTTGGATGGGGAAGCCTTGCTCCCTAAGGTAGCCAGTTGGAAGAACGCGAACATCGATTCTGTCTTGTGAAAGGTAGCAGTACGTTTAACATAGATAAAGAGAGCTCTCCGCACATCCAACGTATGCCACTTGTGTTCCAACTCATGTTGAGGCCTAGGGCAGAAATCCGGTAGGAGTATGTCTTGTGCCCTATGGAACCAAGAATTAATCTTTGGAACAAAGGTGGGGTCCAAATGTAATACTACTCTGTTCTCATGAAAGATGCACAAATCTTGTCTGACCAAGAGATCAGCCAACTCTGACACCCTTCTGGCCAACATGATAGCCACCAAGAAGGCCACCTTGAGTGTCAAAAAATGGAGGTCCACTGACCTTAAAGACTCAAATGGGGGTCCCATCAGGGCCTGGAGTACCTTTGGGAGATCCCAAGTGAGATATCTATGAACTACTGGGGCTCCCCTCAAAAATCTGCGTACTGATGGGTGGTGGGAGAGAGAAGTATAATTATCCCATGACAACACTGAGGACAAAGCCGCAACCTGACGGTGGAGAGTGTTTGGTGAGAGCCCTTTATCTAGACCTTCCTGTAGTAGCATCAGCACATCTGGGATTGAAGCAGATGTAGGGTCCTGGACCACCGCAGAACACCAACTGCAAAAGGCTCTACAGGTAACATCATAGATGCGATTGGTTGATGGCTTATGTGATACCTGGATGGTTTGAATCACCCTATCTGATAAATTAGTCTCTTTCAGAGATTTCTACTCAAGCGCCATACAGCCAACTGGAACCACTGAGGTTCCGGGTAGAGTAAGACCCCTTGGCTGAGGGAAATTCTGCTGTCTGGGATTCTCCACGGTCAAGTTCACCAGGTCAGCGAACCAGGGCTGTCTGGGCCAATGAGGCACCAGAAGTACCAGTTCCGCCTTCTCCTCCAACGTCTTCCGAAGTACGGTTGGAATGATAGGAAGAGGGGGAAAGGCATAGAGGAGACCTGCTCCAAAGTACATTGGTGCAAAGTACCATCTGCTCCAAAGTACATTGGTCCCCTCCACTCCTTGGGTAGGAAACCTGATGAAGAATCTGCCTATCTGTGCATTCTGGGAAGTGGCGAAAAGGTCTACTACAGGGGATCCGAATCTGTTGGGACAGTTCCTGGAAAAGGGATGAGGGCTCCACCCCGAGTGGTCGACCTTGGTCCAACTCAGCTAGTCAGCCTGGGTGTTGTTGACCCCCAAGATGTGGTCTGCTCTGAGGGACAAAAGTTGTCTCTCCACTCACCGCCCCAGACGTTCAGCCTCCTGCATTAAGGATTTGGACTGGGTCCCCCCCTTGTCAGTTGACATGGGCCTTGGCAGCCATGTTGTCTGTCATAATCAACACATGGGACCCTGTCACCTTGTCCTGGAAGTGTCTCAAAGCCAGGAAGATGGCCTTGAGTTCTAGCCAATTGATGGGGCGAGACCTGTCTGCCTGGGACCAATGACCCTGAGCTATCTCACTTTGCAGATGAGCTCCCCAGCCATAAAGACTGGCATCTGTTGTGATCATGATCCTTTCTGGTTCCTTGGTTCCTGGTCCCTGACGGCCTGGGACTGCCACCACTGGAAAGAATGAAGGATCTGTGGAGGAACTCGGACCCTGATGGAAGAGTGGCTGGTTCCCGCCCGTTGAAATGGCAGCAGGAACATTGCAGAGTTTGGGCATGGAGATGGGCCCACAGCACAATGCCTATATAGGAAATCATCTTTCCTAGGAGTTGGGACAGGAGAGACAGAGGAACTGTGTACTGCTGTCGAATCCAGTTTATCAAGTCGTTCAGACTCTCTTGGTGATCCAGGGAAAGAAAGATCTCACAGAGGGTCGTGCAGGACATGGGTTGTTAGTAGCAGGTGACTCTTGTTGAAGTTGATGGAAAACCCATGTTCCTGCAGGAGCCACTTCGTGGTCTGAAGGTCGTGTTCGGCTGAGTGGGTTGAAAATGACTGGATCAGGATATCGTTGAGGTAGCATTGGACCCTCACAGGTAGAGTGCAAACGGACACTGCCAATGCTGCCAAGACCTTGGTAAAGACCCTGGGGGCTGACGAGAGGCCAAATGGAAGGGCCTGGTACTGGTACTACCTGTTGTAGCAGAAGCGCAGGAACTGGCGATGAAGGGGCCAGATCGGGATATGGAGGTATGCCTCCATGAGGTCTCTGGATGAGAGGTCGCCCTCCCGAACGCTCTCCAGAATAGAGTGGAGGGACTGCATCTTGAAGCGCCTGAAGGAAATGAACTTGTTCAAAGACTTGAGGTCGAGAATTGCTCTCCACCCCCCCCCCCGAGGCCTTTGGGATCACGAAGAGCCGAGAGTAGAACCCTAGTCTCTGTTGATCCACCGGAACTGCCTGTATGGCCTTTATGTCCACCAGATGTTGAATGGTCGATTCCGTGAGGGCCTCTCTGGACCTGTCTCAAGATATTGGACAGCAAACAAAAAACCTCAGGGGAGAGGAGAGGAATTCGAGTTGAAGACTCGACCTCACAGTCCTCAGAACCCAGGTGTCCAATGTTGACTCCTCCCATCTTGAGGCAAAGAAGGCCAGACAACCTCCAATGGGAGGGGAAGGAAGGCAGTCATTTGGAGCATTGGAACGAGTAGCCGCCTCCTCCTCAAAAGGGCTGTTTATTGGAAAACT